CTGTGTGCCAGGGCATATCAGTATAGAGTCTCTACTTTAAAGAGTCCCCTCCTGCTGATGTTCAGGTGTATATCAGTATGTAGTGTCTCTACTTTAAAGAGTCCTCTCCTGCTGATGTTCAGGTGTATATCAGTATGTAGTGTCTCTACTTTAAAGAGTCCTCTCCTGCTGATGTTCAGGTGTATATCAGTATGTAGTGTCTCTACTTTAAAGAGTCCTCTCCTGCTGATGTTCAGGTGTATATCTAGTGTCTCTACTTTAAAGAGTCCTCTCCTGCTGATGTTCAGGTGTATATCAGTATGTAGTGTCTCTACTTTAAAGAGTCCTCTCCTGCTGATGTTCAGGTGTATATCAGTATGTAGTGTCTCTACTTTAAAGAGTCCTCTCCTGCTGATGTTCAGGTGTATATCAGTATGTAGTGTCTCTACTTTAAAGAGTCCTCTCCTGCTGATGTTCAGGTGTATATCAGTATGTAGTGTCTCTACTGGGACATGTCTCCATGCTTTAATGTTCAAAAAGCTCTTTATTTCTCTCACACTGCCTGTGCTGCAGCACCTCTTTTCACCGCACACTTTGACACAAATGGACTTCCAGGCGTTCATAAGTTTAACACGAGTTTCTCTTACTTTGTTTGTTCTGCAAATACAGAAACACAAGCAAATCACTGCATTATGTTGACAAGGTCTAACAAGTGATGCATCTGGTTTAACATTCAAACTTTCAAATATACAATATCAAAACATCCCGCAGAACACACTAAATGACAATTTTCCTCACACATACACATCTTATTATTATTATTATTATTATCTAAAGGTGGCACATTCACACGACACACTCTCATTTAACCGGTAAAAACGACGATAAAAATGCAATATAAATGTGAATATATTGTGCTGTGTTTCAGGTGGTGAAGACGGTGGGTCTGAGGGAGGTGTGGTTCTTCGGGCTGCAGTACACCGACAGTAAAGGCTACATCACGTGGCTCAAGCTCAACAAGAAGGTGGGAGACCCTGAACGCAACCTCTTCAAGACTCTCTGTGCATGTAACCCCCTTTAGACAAACTATTTATTTCAATTTTCATTATTTATGCAGCTAAATGCATCCCCACAACTTGAAAAAGCATTATATTTAAATGATGTACAATAGTAAAGACTCCTGTGGTTTGAACTGTAACAAGCAAGAATATTTTAGAAGTAGTTTAAAATCTTACTTTAATATTCTGAGGCTTTAATCCAAGCTTTAGTGAAAACATGTTTTTTGAAATCCTCCTGAATGTTAATTTATTCTAATTAGATTTACTTCAGACGTACTCATACTGTATGTTTCCCTGCTGTAGAGACATGTTAATGGTGAGAGATGTGTGTGTTTTCTCTCCAGGTGACGCAGCAGGACGTGAAGAAGGAGAATCCTCTGCAGTTCAAGTTCAGAGCAAAGTTTTTCCCTGAAGATGTTTCTGAGGAGCTCATCCAGGAGATCACTCAGAAACTATTCTTCCTGCAGGTACTGTGCAACTGACGGATCACTGTAACGGTCATTATGTTGTGGTGTTGAGGAGGTCAACCCAAAAAGTACTAACACCTAGTGTAAGGGATGATGTGCATCGAGGCGGTCAAAAAAGCCTTAACCGCCATGATAAGACAAAATGATCTGTTACACTGCGTACCAACGGCTGGAAATGCAGCAACAGCAACGTAACTTAAAATGACGACAGCACAGATCGAGGTTTCTGTAATTCTCCAAGTCTGTTCACTGTTTCTTTTCACGGTCTTTAAACACTGCCAGTGCCAAAACTGTGTTAGCAACGGTCTGTTCACAAAAGATAGCATAGCAGACCTCTGGAATGTCCAAATGGATCAATCAGAATCAAGTAATCACCCAAGCCGTGTCGTAAATCCTAATAATTGAAAAGCGGTTTTCTATATGTGAAAGCGGGGGTGACGCTCATGAACTGTTAGCGCCGGTGTTATGCATGCCCACTGCACCTCGCGGGAGCGCGCCACAGCGTAAAGCACTCACAGACATTTCAATGATTTGTACGGCAAAGTTAGGTTTGGAAACGATATAATCTCCTTTGTGGCGGGCATGCATAACACCGGAGCCTCGCTGCGGGGAAGCTTTGGCGCTGTTCTGAGTTTGTTCTAATCTGTGAAAATGACGGACTGCTTTCAGATTTTTCCGTCATTGTTAAAAGAAATCGGTTTTAGACGGAACATATTAGGTTAACGCGACCCTTCTGCTGCCAATATCAGACTGGATTGTGTTAGACAATGTAATGCTTGTGTTTAGCAATTAACATATAACTGTTGGGATCTTTTTTTATAAATGATAAATGTTAGAAAGCTATATATTTTTTTCAATTTGTCAAAGTTATGCTATGCAGCTACGCTTTAATCAGAATACTTTATTTAAAATGTTATTATTTTGTGTGAACGTCTTCTCCCTGCAGGTGAAGGAGGCCATCCTGAACGATGAGAACTACTGTCCTCCAGAGACCGCCGTGCTCGTGGCTTCTTACGCCGTCCAGGCGAAGTACGGAGATTTCAACAAAGACCTTCACAAGCCGGGCTACCTGGCCTCCGACCGGCTACTGCCACAAAGGTACACACACACACACACACACACACACACACACACACACACACACACACACACACACACACACACACACACACGTCAAAATGTCTTGTACATTTCCCCTCTTTGGTAAGACTGAAGGTACTCTGATTCTGCTTCATGCAATTCCCCTCACAGACAACAGTAGAATATATTAACACAGTTTTCTGACTGCATTGCACAAAGGAAATCAATATTATTCACCATTTGTGTAATTCTTCCCTTTTACCCTCATCTATTGTGTTTCTTAGGACTTGTGTCTGCAGCTCTCAGTGATTTATCTGTTTGATTGTCCCGTCGCCTCATGTTAATCTCGTATCTCCCCTTTAGAGAGGTCAATCCTCTCTGGGTCATCCCACCAAGTGTTAAAATCCCTCTTCGGGACGCCCACGAGGCTTTTTAGAAAATTACAATAAGATTAGCCATAAGGGCGTTTCTATGGAAACCTTATCAGCCAGAAAACAGAGACACATGACATGCACTGATATGAACGAAGGAAAAAAAATGCCACATTGTGTGTGTTTGCATTTTGTGCATGCATGGGAAGCCACCATATGGCTACACTCCCATACATACACACAGATGTATGTCTCACTGTGACACACACACACACACACACACACACACACACACACACACACACA